CCTGAAATCATAAACACTTTTTACTCTCAATAATTTTAATAGTTAAAAAAGCACTTAGGTAATACACAATAATAGTTTGTTTTTTAGGCTGATAATGCACAAAGACTCTCTCACTTTTTTAGAAGTTTGTTATAAGTGTTCTTGATGTTACTTGATGGTAAAAAATTAAAGCTGCGCAGTTACAAAGTTAAAATTCATGATTGAAAGAGAGAAAATTAGCTTTATGCAATCAATTACTTATCTTTGATGTAAATAAGATTGAGAACTATTTGCCCTAAATGTTGGATACTATAAACTTTATGTTGGATGGTATAAGCTATATGTTGGGTGATATAAACTACAGTTGTAGAATTCCAATTAGGTGAATATATGCTTGTGTTAATGACATTATTAAAACTTGCTGAAGTTCTCATGGTGAAAGGAGAAGAAATTGGTATTTAAAAAGCCCAGATGGCTGTCCAGACAGTCGCTACTTGGTTTTTGAATTGATCACTTTCATTATATGCTTAACACTGACTTTCCATTTAGTTTTCAATGAGACAGCCTTTTTCTATAACTTCTTTTCAAAACGCCTTGAATTTTAAGCTCTTTACCTATCTCAAGAAAAGCGCAATTAAAAAATTATAATTGCAGAAACTCTTTGTAAAACATTTTTTTAAACTAATGCTTTTTATGAATGTCATTCAATAACGTTTATAGGCATCTAAATTAGCTTATTTTGTAAAAAAGTAAACAGTAAAAGTTAAATAAAAGAAAGAAAAAATTGTTTTAATGATTTTTAATGCGGTTTGAAAATAACAATGCTGTACCTAAAATTACTCTAGTGACGCAATTTAACTTTTAACAATATAAATATTAAAGCTTAGTTGAGTTATTATAAAATGCGTTAAGCGTTTTCGTTACGCAGTGAATTCTTATAACAAGGCCTGCAGTATGTGATATCTGCAGCTAATTTATATTTCTCATACTCAAATATTGCGTATATCAAATACTATTATCATATCAAATACTATTAAAAATGATCGTCATATCAAATACTATTAAAAATGAGCAATATTTGAGTATGAAATTTTCCTCTGTTGGGACTTCTTTTTTGTTTCTAACCAGAGAGTAGAGAGTCTGATGTCCACAACTACTTCTTTATAAACAGGATAGTGCAGGTATTTAAGTTTCAGATCATATTTTAAATCACTTACTTTTAATTTTAACTAGAGTTTTTTTTTTGGTTAGCTCTATTACTTGTTTGTTGAACCAGTATAGTTGCATAAAATTTGAGTTTTGCTTATTTATGAACTTTTTACATCCAGTGTTTTTTGTAAATTTTATGTGTATATTTTGATGAAGTTTTTTTAGTTTGTTTTAATATCAAGATAATTGTTGAATTTTTTTTCCAATCGATATTTTCGAAAAATGAATTTAGATCATCGTAATTGCATCTTTTGTTGCCAATTTTTTTTGGTTATGTTTTTGTTGTGTTGTTATTTGTCAAATTTAAGTTGAATCTTAACCGGAGATATGTTTTATTGGTATGACTTATAAGAGCTTCTGTTTTCAGCTCGCTTATTCTCTCATGTAGTTCTGTGAAAGCAAAGTCCAATATTTTTTGTTTCAAAATCATTATTTTATATATATATATATATATATATATATATATATATATATATATATATATATATATATATCATCTCTAGTAATTAAATGTATCTTAAAAGCTGGATGTAGAAAGTCATTTATATAATTTTGAACTGCTTCACATAATATAGTAGATTGACAAATTTGAAGAACTGCTTATTATTGATAGAAGTCATTAATTTACTATTTATCATTATACTTAATTACCCTGCTTGCAAGTAAAACAATTGAGCAATAAACTTTATTTCAGAAACAATATTGTGGTATTGAAAGCATAAATACTTTCAACTAAAATAATCTATAATAATATTATAAATATCATCTAAAGAGGTAATTATAATTTAATTTAGGCTATAACACCTGTGAAGCAAGTTGATAAAAACTATTCTTCAACTTCTCAAAATCCCTAGTTATGTATTGTGCATGGTTTATTTAACATATAATTATTTTCATTATATGTAAGACTTGGCCTATTATTAAATGTCAATTAATATTTACATCACATACACATGTATATGTATAAATGTATGTGTAAATTTTTTCAATATTATCAGTAATTCAATTTTTCCATTAGTCCGCCACAAGGTTAAAGAGATAATAGACCTAATCCAAGATGATGCCCGTCTCCGAGATGAACGTAAACGTTCTAAAGTGAATAAAGATAAGTATGTTGGTATGTCATCGAATGTGATAGAAGACAGCTTTTATAGTAAGTATGGTGAGTCTTACTTTCCAAATAAATTTTTCTAAAATAAGAAATATTTTATGGAAAATAAGTATTTGCTACATAAGTTTATTTTTCATGTTTATAATTTATGTTTTGTGTGTACGCACATATATATATATATATATATATATATATATATATATATATATATATATATATATATATATATATATATATATATATATATATATATATATATATATATATATATATATATATATATATAGAGAGAGAGAGAGAGAGAGAGAGAGAGAGAGAGAGAGAGAGAGAGTGAGAGAGAGAGAGAGAGAGTGAGAGAAAGAGAGAGAGAGAGAGACACGAAAGATGCCTATGATGGCATACTGGACATATTTTCATAAATATTGGTTATGGCGAAAAAGTGATCAACATGTCTATACAGACTTTACATTAGTTTTAGTAAAAATACTTCCCCTAAGCACAAATACTGCAAATCAACAAAAATCAATTTTGGGATGTGCTGTTGTATTTTTAATCTTTTTAAATATTTAAGATTGTGATTTTATTATTTGTGCAGAAATGAAGTTTTCATGCATTTTATGTCAAAATTTTGCGCGTTTAGTGGAATACTTATTTTAATTTCATCTTTTGAACAAGGCAGACAGCTTATTTGAATGAAAATGATGAATTCTTCCTATGATGGCATACTGACGAGTTAGGTGTGTTGCAATATTGACAAGTTGAGAAAACCTTTTTTTCTTAAAAACAACATATTTGTTAGTGAAGTAAAAAGGAATTTTTACTTCACTAAAAATTTTTTGGTTTAAAAAACACATAAAACACAATACCTCTTATGCGCATGTGAGAATTTCTACACTTCTGCTGTGTAGCATGAAAGGGTTAATTAGGATGATTACACATAATTTCTGTAATTTCTGAGGAAAAACTCAAAGGTCAAATGAAATTGTCAAGTTACCCTTGATGCTAATCAGCCCCATCCTCCCCTATGCCATCATAGGAGCAGTAGTTGCCTATGATGGCGTACTTATGCTTTTTATTTAAATAAAAATAAATAATAAAAAATTAAAACTGATAAAAGCTCCTAGATTTTTTATTGTTCTGCAACAAAGAATGTATTTATATTAAAACTTTCATTCTTGGTCTTTAGGATACTGAATAATGAAGCTTCAAAGTTAAGTATGTCATCATAGGCGCCTTTCCCCTATATATATATATATATATATATATATATATATATATATATATATATATATATATATATATATATATATATATATATATATATATATATATATATATATATATATATATATATATATATATATATATATATATATATATATTTATATTTATATATATATATATATATTTATATTTATATATATATATTTATATTTATATATATATATATATATATATATATATATTTATATATATATATATATATATATATATATATATATATATATATATATATATATATATATATATATATATATATAAATGCGGCTTCGTGGAGAAACAAGTTGAACGCAGTACTACCAGGGATGTGGTGGGGATCGAATTTGCAACCTCTTGCTTATGAAGCGAGCGTTTTATATATATATATATATATATATATATATATATATATATATATATATATATATATATATATATATATATATATATATATATATATATATATATATATATATATATATATATATATATATATATATATATATATATATATATATATATATATATATATATATATGGCACTGAACTACTCTTTAACATCTAGCAAGACAAAATTAAGTACAGATTATGTCAGGGAATTCGACACGCAAAGATGTTGGTTAAAATAATGTCGGATAAAAATATGTGCATAATTGAAGACGACGAAACGTATTGCAAGGCGGATTTTTCACAATTTCCTGGTCAACAGGTTTACTATGAAAACAAAGATAAACCTGTCGATGATCAATTTAAAATATATTCGACGAGAAAAATTTGCATCCAAGTTCCTTGTGTGGCAAGCAATTTGTAGCTGTGGTATGCAGTCCTCTTGTTTTGTCACTAAAAAGATCTTGACTGCCAATCTCTACATCAAAGAATGCCTCTAAAAAAGACTTTTGCCTTTTATAAAAAAAACACAAATACCGATGTCTCTTTTGGCCCGATCTTGCTGCCTCTCACTATTCTAAAAAAGTTTTACAGTGGTGCAAAAATAATCATGTGAAAATTGTTCCTAAAGATACGAATCCTCCTAATCGTCCTGAAGAGCGCAAGATTAAAGATTTTTGGGAAATAGTTAAAGGAGTTCTTCGTAAGACAGGTGGACTAACAAATAATAAAAAGGACTTCCAAAAAAAGTGAATTAATGCCACCAATATGGTGAAAAAAGAAAAAATCTGTAAAATGATGGCATCAACCTGCTATAAGGTTCGATTTCTTGCCAAGCAACCCATCAAGCCCCTTAAAATTAAGTTGAAACTCTAATTTATGTAAACACATTTAATAATAAAAAAATTGAAATAAAAAGCATTTCTGGTTTTAGAGCAATCTCAGTTTAAAATTGACCGGATTTTTCCGTGTCTACCCAATACTAACAGGTATCTCAGGTATATCTTGTAATTTTTCAATGTCCAATCCAGATAAAATTGGCAGACATTTGTACCTGTTTCCATCAACATAGCATATTTTGGCATCAAAATGAGCATTTAGTGGAACCAAGGGTTGAAAATTTTTTCTTACTATTATTACAAGAGATTCACCTGATGTAGTTTGAGTTTTCATTAAAGAGGTATGAAAAAGTATTAACTATGTTAAGTTGTTTACATCAATACCAATTGTAGCTAGGGCTGGTGTAACAATCATCATCGGTTGTCATGGCATTGTTTTTGTTTGATCTAACTCTGCATTAAAGAGTTGATTGTCAAGAATACAATGTTTGCATACTTTAATTGATAGTTTACTAGTGCTTAAAGTAGAATATTGTGAAAGTTTTGGACAAGTTAAGTCTTTTTGTGTTTGAATTGACATATCACAGTCACAATTTTCGTAAAAAGAATAATCTGAATTGTAATCCATTAATGGTTCTGTAGAAAAAACTTTCTTTATGTTGTTACTAGTGCCTTTTTTTTCTTTAAACTTGCTTTTTCTATATTTAACAACTGCTTGCTTACATTAATGTTTTTTAAAAAGACAGATTTGCTCTAGAAGTTTTGAACAAATTTACTCTTAAAAAAAACAACTGATTCACATACTAAGTGTTCAGATGTTGTTGAAATCTTTTTGGAACCTTGCTGGTCTATTTATCTTTATTTTATTAGTTTTATCTTTATTTTATTAGTTTTATTTTTATTTTATTAGTCTTTTTATCTTTATTTATCTTGATGCGACAAACCAATTCTGATTTAAACAGGGTTTTTTATTTATTTAAACAGGGTTTTTTAAGTTAATATACTTTATATAAAAAAATTATTAAATTATATTACACTAGATTTTTAAGTGAAAAATTTTCTACTTTAACAAACTTTTTTACTACCTAAAACAGCAATTTCATATAATTAGAGTGCGTCTAATAGTGCTTCTATTAAAATACACACACACACATATGTATACGCCTCAGCAGGAAGCGAGAGCATTAGCTCTTCCTCTTGCCCACACTCCCCTAAAATGGATTATAGGAGCAATTTACAGCTCTTGCAAAAGTATTTTTTTCTCTCAGAAGTATAATTATTATTGTAACTAAAATGAAAAAGGCCAAGTCAAAAATATTTAACTTATTGGATCATAAACAGGCATGATTTTTGCAATAAAAAAAAAGTCTAAAGAATTTTTTTTTAAGCACAATAAATGACGCTTGCTATGTGTATATTGATATAACATTAACGTTACAAACATATGCTTGTAACAAGTATAAAACCAAATTTTGTATTCAATAAGCATTAAAATTTTTAATGCTTATTGAATACAAAATTTGGTTTTAATGCTCTCGCTTCCTGCTGAGGCGTATACATATGTGTATTTGCTAATGCTCTCGCTTCCTGCTGAGGCGTATACATATGTGTGTGTGTGTATTTTAATGGAAGCACTATTAGACGCACTCTATATGAAATTGCTGTTTTAGGTAGTAAAAAAGTTTGTTAAAGTAGAAAATATTTCACTTAAAAATCTAGTGTGATATAATTTAATAATTTTTTTATATAAAGTATATTAACTTAAAAAACCCTGTTAATAAATATGTTAAAAAATAAATATTGAAATTTTTTTTTATTTAAAAGAATGCCTGCCAAAACCTAAACTCTCAATCAATATATGTACACTTCGCTGTGCCTATTCCTATTTAAGTCAATTGATGTGCAGTCCACTGACTATGGCTATATCAGTTGATTTATGTGCGGATTGATACACTTATTCTAAATGAAATTTTAATGAAAAAACAAAAAAAGATAAACATAGCTATAAATAAACAACAATAATAATTAAAAACTGTTTCAAAAAATAACTTTTTTTGATAAAATTATAAGGCACAACCTTGTCAGTTCTGCCTCTAATTTAATATTTAATTTTACATTATAACATCCACACCAAACATGAGTTATTCTTAGTTACACAAAATGCATTTATATTTCTGGAGTTTTTCGCTGATACTTTTTAAAAATATTTTGCTGATATTTTTAGGAAAAACCTTTCCAAGTTTTTAAAAAATGGATAATCACTGTATAATAGATAATTACTGTGTAATAGTATAATAGTTTTTAAAAATAGATAATCACTTTATAATGAGATTTATGTATTGGCACTGCCTACTTGGCTAATGTGATTTATGCACTTGAATATCTTTTACTCAAGACAAAAAATACAAAGATATTTTTTGTCTTAAATGTTATAGACATTTTTAATAATCTGACAGCGGAGTCAGAAAATGAGTTTGTTGATTAACTGATTATTTGTGTCTACAAATACATGTACCAAATAACTCTTGTCAAATTATAATGAAATCAATGCTAAAAGTATCACTCAGGCCTCGGCGGGAATAAGTGAGTACGAGAGCAGAGAAAAGCTCTTCTAAAACGAACTTGAGGAGCTGTGCAAGCTGCTCCTCATTTAAATCAGCACTCTTTTTTAATTCTAATTTTTTTTTTGCAACAACCATGTCTTTTAAAAAGCATTTCAGTATATTATGCAATTATTATTTTTTAAATGACAATGTGTTTTTTATTTTATTTAAAATGATGATTATACTTTTATAAGAAAAATTATACTTTTGTGAGAGCTGTTAATAGCTCTTGTAAACAGTTTTGGGGGAGTGTGCGCGAGAGCGAGAGCTAAAGCTCTCGTTTCCTGCCAAGGCCTGATCACTGAAAAACAAACTATTGAAAACAATAACATTAGCTGTTCTTTTACAAAATAATTCATTCAGATAGATAGACTAAAGGGAAGTGAAAAATCACCTTTAAAATACTATTATTGACAACGACAAGTCTTTGCAGAAGTTTCTGAGAAATTAAATACACTATTAGTTAATAGTTAGTTAAATAGTTCTATGAAGTGTGGTGATTCAAAGAGTTTTAAAGTAATTAATAAGATGACATTTATTAAGATTAAAGCATGTTCTCATGTTCTGAACCACTCAAAAGAGGATAAACTGATTAACAGCTGAGTGCCAGCTCGGGTTAGAGATAGGACACGTATCAAGGAGCAACATTAGTGATTAGGGTTGACTAAAAAGTAGTTTAGAAAGTTAAGCGAGATAGCAAAAAATAAAGTTGAGACTTTGCGTCTGTGAGGTAACTGGTACTAGATTAATTTCTTTCAGTGCATTAAATTGACTAATAGCGAAGAGTAGGATTAAGTATAAACAACATTTTAATGGGATTTTTTATTGTTTAAAATTTCAACATCACTGATTTCATTATCACCGTCAGAAACTTTGTTATATCAGAAACAACTTTAAGAAAGTCTTGGAAGAAAAGTCTTGCAAGCAAACAATAAAGAACAAAATAAAAATAGATAAATGTGAGTGATTAACAATTATTGATGTTAAAAGCTAACCACTTACATTTACATAAATCCAATTTTTTGAATGTTTCTTTGTAAATAAAACATAACTTGTCAACCATGGATTCCATATATGTTTCTTTTTAATAGTCTTAATACTGTTTATTTGTTGTATGTTTTAAGTATTATTGATTTCAAAAGAATTTTTTATGATAACTTTCCCATCCATAAGAAGTTAGTAGAACTCATACTAATGGAAAGAATATTTTAATAAAAGGTTATTCTTGTTACCTTGTCATAAATTCTTACTAAAAAATTTATGTCAATCTTCCTGAATTGTTATAAAATTTATATTGATACTTTTATGCTGATTCAAAAATGAAACAGGACCTTAGTAAAAGTCTAATATAAACAATATAACTACGTTATTTTTGAAAGATTATGATCTTTAACTTTCTTAATTATTGTTTTAAGAGACCATGCAATTTCACACTGTTAAAACATTAAAATGCTTATTCTATAACTATCTCAAATATTTCTATATAAGGTGATAAATACAGTCGGGATATGAATACTTCTCAAAGTCGAATTGAGTATGATGATGACTTCAATAGAAAAACAACATTTCAACAGATTAAAGACACTATTGAATCTATTCGACCTGGTAAAAGAGATTATAGTGAATATAACACTAAACCTAGCAGGTAACTTATATTTATATTGTATCCTTTAGGCTATTTTACAACAAGTTTCAGAAATGTTTATTTTTTATTTACTTTACCAGTAAGACTTTTCATATAATGAAAACATATACAAGTTTTAAACTTTTTATTTAGGAAACTTTACTAAAGCAAAACTACTTGATTTTTATAAAAATTATGACATAAATGAAAGTCTCTTTCATTTATGCTATGATTTTTTTAAAGATGATATATAGTAAGTTAGATAAAATAATAGTTATAAAATAGATAATAGAAAAGAATAAGATTGATAAATATTTACATAAAATTAATTTAAAATACTTTAATTATTTTCCCTAAAAAAAATTTGTTACAAGTTTAGTTAAGACAAACTTACTAGGCTAACTTATCAAAATTAATATATCTAGTAAGTTAAGGGTTGAAAATATTTTAAAAATTTTTATTGCAATTAACTTTTATAGTTTTATAAAATTAATTTCTTTGTTTCAAAAATATTTGTTTAATCATTGTAGTATTTGTGTATTCAACTAAAAATATAAAATAATAAAGTTTAACAAGACCCACAAATGAAAAATTCACATCTTTTAGTCAAATTTTTAGAATCAAGTTTATCAATTTAAGAATCTCGCATTTTTTTGAAAAAGCAGTTAAACGCTCAAGTTGTTATATGTTGTAATTGCACTGTTAAATTTTTTTTTTTAATTTACATCCCTAAGGCTGAGAAGGCTACAACAGGAACGGAGGCTACTTAATTGTAGTTATTACCCTCTCTCAACTCTATAAATCCGAAACATGAACCTTGACAAACAAGGCCATTGCGAAGATAAACAAGTTAAGTACGGTACTACCAGGGGCATAGTACAATTATAATATTTATCTAAAAATGACGTGGACGTGGACAAATGCAATATTTATCTAAAAATGACATTAAGAAACACATTTGATCTGAATGTTCAGTAATATGATCAATTAATTTGGTTGGTATGATACTTATAAAAAAAACACACACTCACACAAATCACCCACTTGGCAGTACTGGTTGGAAATAGATTATACATTTAAAACATTTTAAATTATAGCTTAATTTTTTGATTTGTTGATTTATAAAGTCAAAAGTGCCATAGCAAGGTTGTGGTGAGTGTTACTCAAGTCTTAAAAGCACTTATTTAAACATAGCGGTTGTATTTATGACATTGAAACTATTAGTTAATTACTTTTATCGCTAACTATATTTTTAAATAATTCAAATTTAGCAAAATATTTTTCTTTACCTTTTGCCTTTCATTAATCAATTACGTTGTTAAATCAAGAAAAAATTGTACAATACTGTAAATTTTCAATCAAGTCTTTTTATATATAATTTTACAGTTTTCAGTACCTTGTAGTATTTAATAGACATTGAAAAATATTCCTTCTCCTTTAGGAATGGGGGTGCAAGTTATGTTTAGCTTTAAATAAAACTTGCTACGGCATTGAATATCAGTATGCTTAGAAATTAACAGGATATAACAATTTTAGAAAATTTTGAAAACAAATTATCATAGTTACTACTTATAGTAACAATTAAAAAACTCAGCAAAATACCCAAAAAAATATTTTTTAAAGAGGCTTTCTAAACTTTTTGTAATCTACTTCATAATATTTTACTATAAAATTATTCATGACAATTGCCTAAATAAGACATAAATTTTTACCCATTAATTTTAAAGTAACTCATCTTTTTTTTTGAAAATCTCCAGAAATTTTCCATCAAAGTTTCTCAAGTTGAAAAATTGCCGATAAACTTCCATCCCTTAGTCAGTTTGTTTTGCCTTTTATTAAAAACTAGTTAATTCCATTAATAAGACTACCTAATTATTAAAACTAATTCTGTTACTATTTAAAAACTTTGGCATATAAAATTCGTCGAATGGTCACACACGAGCAGTAAACGCCTGAGGGAAGAAATGAAATACATTAAAATAAATGAAAATTATTTATTAAACAAAACATATTTTAACAGTTGTCAAGACAAAAATTAAGATTAATAGAGGAATATTTAAAAATAAATAAGACAGGCTATACATCCAAAACAATACTCAACAATAAAAATAAAAAAAATGAAAAAAATTGTTTTATAAACACCAATATGAACGAAGATATATAACTATTATATCACCAGACAAAAAACTTATAAAACAAAAAACCAATCACAAAATAAAAAGTATGCTAACAACAATAGAAGGCCTCAAAATGGAAAAAAAATATTAATGCTAATGTGTAAACATAATTTGTGTAGTGATTAAGTAATAAACATCTCCTCAGAGTCACGTTTATTATTACTGGCGTTTTAATGAGGCCCAGCATTTATAACTAGTTTATATATATATATATATATATATATATATATATATATATATATATATATATATATATATATATATATATATATATATATGTGAATCCTTAAATAAAAAACTAAATCACGCACAATAACCACATATACATAACATACAAATCTATATCTACATTTCAACCACATATTATCTATTAAAAGAAAATATTATCTAAATAAGGATGAGTTCAAACAAAGATAGTTTATCTATGAAAGGACAAAAAGCATGCAAACGATGTAAAAAGGCTGTATGTGCATAAGGGTGTATAGGTGTAATGTGTAAGTCTGTGCTGTTTATGTTGTTCAGTAGAGTCATGTATTGTTAATAACCAGCGTAAAAGATTTATCTCTATACTAAACCAAGCCAGCTCAGCCATACGCTAGAAAACCATGATGGATTAAACACCTATGTATGAATTTATAACTGACTTATGACTAAAAAGCTAGCCCAGGCATCTTCCAGAGACAAACATCCTCTTTCGCGGTGACAGTAATTGCCATTTGGAAAATAGTCATGCTCAATGACCGTAATACTAACCGTTACGGGCTAGGCCCAATATTATTTAAAAACTTTGGCATATAAAATTCGCCGAATGGTCACACACAAGCAGTGAATGCCTCAGTTTGTTTTGGCTTTTATTAAAAACTAGTTAATTCCATTAATAAGACTACCTAATTATTAAAACTAATTCTATTGCTAAGTATATGTAAAACATACACTATTCATTATTTAAAATAATGAATAGTGTGTGTTTTACATATGCTTAGAATTAAAATTAAAATAGCAATTAGAATAGTCTAATAGAACTTTTATAATAGCAATTAAAATTAAAAATTTCAATTTGCTATTCTAATAGATTTTTTAAAGTTCTGTTTTGTCTGAAATTTTGTAAAAATAGCGTAGGTCTTTATTTTTTTGTGTAGCTGTTGTCTTTCAAATAAAAAAATATTTTTTTGTACATAGTAATCCCTTTAAAAAGTGATTAAATGAAAAAGTGATTAAATGTCGAGTGATGGTAATCTTGAGTAAAGCATGACTATCACATAAATAAAGATAGAGTAAATCAGAGAAGGTTAGTTTAGTTTTGGTTGTTTTGAGAGTTTAGGTTGTAAAGATGTAAATTATTTGAATGTGTTTTTACTGGCAAAATCATTTTAGTAAATTTTAGAAAAAAATTTTTTTCTGATGTCTCAATTTCTATAAAACTGTTAGTTAAATTTTTTTTTAGTAAAACAAATATATAAAACACTTTTACAAAAAAGTTTCATTTACATGTGGCACAACTGTGGGCAGCTATTAATATGTAGCACAACTGTGGGCAGCTATCTGTATGAATATTTACTTGATTTAGTTTAAGTTTGAAAAGCAGCAGTTTGTAAAACAGCGAATTGTCAAAAATTTAACATAGTTTTTGTTAGTTATAAAGTAATAAATTAATTATTTATTGGTTGTGCTGCACAGTTAAACTCAGGTAAGAATAAAGAACTTTTTATCTTAGAAAAATGCATGAAAGTTACATGACAAGAGCTATATTAATAATCCTTGTACATATAAATATATTATACATCACTTTGATAAGCAAAAATTGTTAAGAAGACTTCAAAATTCTCATTAACAGCACAACCAAATTAAGTATCTCTTTGAATGCATTTATAAACTGTAAGTCAAATGTGCCACAAGTGTTTTGCTTCCATGTAGCTATGTAGGGCACCAATTTTATAATTAATTGCATCTTAGCATAAACTCGAAGAATGATCCCTGTAAGTATTGTAAGCACTTTAGTCTGAAGAATTTTCTAAGTAAGGTTCAATTCGCTTTTATCAGCTATCAAGAATAAATCAATGGGCCATTTCTTTTTTTTTGTTAGGTTTTCTGTTACTTCATGTAATTGTATTGCCTTACACATTTTATAAAGGTACTGTTGATCTTTGTTATTATTGCAACCTCAAGTAGAGCTTTCTATAAGTTATTCTGCCTGGTATCAAATTTGACAATTGACAATTCATGATAATTTGCAAGTGTTTTTAAGAGTTGTTACAAATTAAAGTAGGCCCAGAAGTGGTTCCATCCAAGTACTATACTAAATGTCTCTAAAGTAATTCATTAAAATAAAATATACACACTAACCATTAAGCTGGATGTCCCAAATACAGATTCAGTAATCTTATTACAAATTTGAATTGAACACACATGATACACAACCTAAATATGCAATGCAATAAGAGAACTGACTGTTTGTTTGGAAAACCCGTTCAAAAACGTTTATGTCAAAATACAGCTATGCTTTTTTTGGCCAGAATGTTTTTAAAAATATAAACAATGTTTTTTTTTTTTTTTTACTGTAAATCATGCGTAAGTGTTGCTACATCGACTATCTTATAGCCTTACTCGCAACAGAGTGCTGTTACATCGACTGACAAATAGCCTGACTCGCAACAGAGTACTATTACATTGACTAACAAATAGCTTGACTCGCAACGGAGTGCTGCTACATCGACTGACAAATAGCCTGACTCGCAAAGGAGTACTGCTACATCGACTGAAGGTTTGGTTTGGGTAGGTAGTCTATCAAACAAAAAAAGAAGAAAAAAAAAAAAACAACTGTTTTTCTTGCGTTTTTTTTTATGTCAACAAAATATGGAAAAACTTTCTGACAGCATTGCAAGGGTCTATATATATATATATATATATATATATATATATATATATATATATATATATATATATATATATATATATATATATATATATATATACATACATACATACATACATACATACATACATACATACATACATACATACATACATACATACATACATACATACATACATACATACATATATATATATATATTTTTATTATATATATAATATATACATACATACATACATACATACATATATATATATATATATATATTTTTATTATATATATAATATATACATACATACATACATACATACATACATACATACATACATATGGGTATATATATATATGTATATATATTTATATATGTATGTATGTATGTATGAATATAAGTATATATATATATATATATATATATATATATATATATATATATATATATATATATATATATATATATATATATATATATATATATATATATATATATACATATATATATATATATATATATGTATATATATATGTATATATATATATATGTATATATATATATATATATATATATATATATATATATATATATATATATATATATATATATATATATATATATATATATTAGTTGTTTACTGTTTTTAGTATTTCATTAATTTCAGCGGGAATATCTTCTTCAGTTGAATGTTTCCATATTATGTATCTGCGTTATTTCATAATTTTATTAGATTACATTTATTTTACATTATTTTAATATATTAATTTTACATTATTTTATTATATTACATTTATATTATATTTATTTTACATTATTTTATTATATATATTTTACATTACAACATTATATTTATGCATCAAAAAGTTAACAACTTATTGTAATATTTAGTTCTATTAATTTAGTTAGCATTAGTTTCAACACAATATCCTAGTGTTTTAACAGCTACTTTTGTGGCCATTTATATCCAATTGTTGTTTCCTTTTAAAAAGCCTGAATGTTACTTTGTACTGCATTATGGTGGTAGTATTATTACAACTGAAGTTTGATATAAGACAAAAATGATTTTTTTTCCCTCAGTTCAAACTTTTCTTTGTACTTACACTTTACTTTCCCAAAATTTTTAAGCTGCGAATCAAACAAAAATGTATTTATATAGATTATAATTATTATTTATTTATAAAAGTATTTATATAGAGTATTTATACAGAGTATTTATTCCTTTATTAATTTTAATATTAAATTTAATTTTATGATTAGAATATGAGTTGAGTTAGGTAAGTCTATTATGCATTGAATCAAAACAGTGACAGTATTTTCATATAATGCAATGAACCCAGTTCAGGCTAGAATAACTATTGGTCATCATTATAGTACTATTTAATAAAAGGTACTACTCGTTTCTTGACTCTAAGATAAAGTTAATAGCTAATTCTATGATAAAGCTAAGATAAAACTAATACTCTAAGATAAAGTAAAGTAATTAATTTATTTAATAAATTCAAATAAATAATAGCTAACTCTAAGATAAACTCTAAGATAAAGTTTCTGTTAACTGCAAAACCACTGCACAGTGGGGTAGGTGTTGGTCAAAAGTAAAAAAATACCTTCTCAAAAATTACATTATTATATATCATTTTATAGTTTAAACATTCAGCCTTTATAAAATGTATTTATTTCTGTATGACTATCATGCTGTATGCTTCTAAGCTGTAGAATTATAAGCATTTTTTCATTTTTTTTAATTTTATAATCTTTTTTGTGCTACTAGTAAGCATAAAATTGTTGTTAATTTTAAAACCTTTCTTTATATTGCATAATTAAGTATTATTTTTTAAATGAGTTATTGCAACACTATTTTGCATGTAAGCTATGTCAAATAAAAAAAATTTAAAATGACAGTGTATTTGAAGTACTTTTTTCAGTTAAAGTTTCACTTATATAGTCAAATCTTTTGTGGTCCAATGCGGTCCAGTAAATTTCAATATGTATACTATCAATATAAATTTGGTTTATTGTCCACAGATGTCCGCATGGTCTCTAATAATGGTTTTTGAAGTTAAATGATGTATCTAATTTTATGTGGCAAAAACATATATATTTTATTCTGAATGGTTATATAATAATTAGGTCTCATTGAGACTAGATTAGTGTTAAAAACTTTTTTTAATATTTATTTAAAATAACTATTTATAATTTGTAATTCATGTTTTTATAAAGTTAAAATATGAAAAATATTTGCTCATTTATATTGAACAAAACTTATAATTAGCTTATTAAAAGCATCTTTGACAAAGATGGCATTTGCATATATGCAAAAGCTCTAAAATTTGTTTTAAAGAGAATAACAAACAATGGTTACAAAATGAACCGGTATTGGTTCAATTTTTAATTGATAATAAGAATATTATTTTAACTGCCTCCATTCATAAAAGAAAGTTATCCCTACTTTAGTATCTGACAGACCCCAGGTAAATTTTGATACTTCAAGTAATAAAACAAAGAAAATAAGATTGGTGCCATTAGTTGCATCTTTTTCATTTTTGGAACAATTGTTTGCATCAGGTTGTAGTTTGTGCCATGATGCTAAAGAAAAAGATGCTAAAGCTGTTTTACAATTATCAATAATAAATGAGTTTTAGCTTGGAAAATAATTTTGAACCAAAACCTTTATATTATTATATACACAAAAGGTTTAGGTTCTTTTAGATTGATTATGTAGTAGTTTCAAGAAATGTAAAATAGAGTCCTGGAGCTGCATAAAAACATTTAATTTAAATAAAAATTAGTAATTAGTTACGTGTTTAAGTTTTTAAATGCATAAAATAATTTTCAATCAGGCTGTTACATTATTATTAGTCTAGTTTATAACTTTGATTCATTTAAGCTAGTAACTATACAAGATGATCTGTTACCACGCATTTCAGGTGTCGCTATCAACCAAATAAAAAATCTATATACCACTATATTTGTAGTATAAAAAATACTCAATGTGATAATTATGGAAGTAATCCAATAAAGTTATTACTTTTGTAAATTTATGGTAGCTAAGCAGTTTAGGTATCCATAGCAACCTACAGTTAAAACTAACTTCACCATTAAAACTGCAATCCTATAGTAGTTAGTAATTAGTTTTTTATATAATGATTTGTTAGTTTTGTCCATTAAAAGTGAATTCTGGCCCATTGTGTGCTGGGGACAAGATACGAATTTGACATTCCTTTAAATTAAATGGATAACTAGACATGAATTTTTAGGTTAAATTTTGCAGTTTGCGTATAATTTACGTTTGCAGTTTTTTCAACATTTTTTTTAAGTAAGAAATATGATTGCCAATGATTTAGCTATATATCAAAATAAAACTTATTGCTAACAATTCAAAATTTTTCTTGCATACTCTGATACAGGCTATTACATATTTGGCAAATCCTTTCCTGCTGGTCATTATTTTGTACTGTTTTATTTTTCATTATATGGCAATTGTCACTTGTCTTTTTTAATGAATAATTTATCAGGGTTATATGGAACTTTTTGGCAAAGCTTTTTGAAACCCAGGTTGACATATTTTTGAAAAAAAATATTTAAGGATAATAAAATACCCGTCTAATGTTTAAGGATCTTGAGTAAACCTTTAATATAAGTTTCATAATATAATTACTTTTACCATATAAAACACAATTTTATTATTTCTCTAGACAAAATGTTTACCAAGATGAGCCTGAAGTAGAGGAAGCTACAGAAGATTACAAATCTGGAGATGAAGATTCTTATCAATTTAAAATACCACGTGAAAATAGTATATCAAATAAAGAAGAAGCTCAACCATCTCAACGTAAATCCACAACACCTAAAAAAATTATAGATCTTGGCGCTTCTGCAAATTTAGGTGCTTCTCAAACTAAAGTGATGCAAGTCATTTCTAATGATGAAGATAAAGAATTTTCTAACTTTAATTCTGCACCAATTTCTACTGTTGCAGCTGCTGCTGTTCCAGTTAAGCCATCTGTGTTCGATGACCTTGCTGACGTTTTAACCGCACCACTATCGTATCCAGCTCTCACTCCTATGAATGCAATTTCAAACGAACCTCAAGGCGATCTGTTTGGTGATTTCTCTTTATCATGTACAGCTTACTATTTGCTTTTATAATTATTTTAGATATCAAAAAGTTAAAATTTAGTTAAATTATATTTTTTTTTATAGTTTCTTTAATTTTTTTTAATTTTTTCTTTCATATAGTTTTTATTTTTATTTTTTCTTCATTTAGTTTTTTGTTTAATTTAGCTCAGAACACTAATATTAACTCTAATGATTTTGCAAATTTTAATTCGTTTGATTCATTCAACCAACCAACCGTTAACTCTGGCGCTAGTTTTGGACAATTTGAAACAAATTATAACAATCAGGTATAATTTTTTTTAATTTCTGTAGATCTTGCTGTATTAAAAATAGTTTAAATTTGCATTTCAACGATTTTATTGTTTAGACTATTCCTATGATGCCTCAAACTCATCAAACCTTTAGCACACATTCGATGCCGCAAAATAATTACTACTCGCCACAACATCAGTTAAACATAATGACGCCATCTGTAATGCAACAAACAGCTTTTATTGGTCAAACAAATACTATGCAACCTAACTATCAAGCATCTCCATTTAGCAATTCGCCTAACACGGTTTCTGCGACATCGCCTCTTTCGCATCAATCTAATGTTAGTATACCTAACTTATTAAAGCGTTAATTAACTGATAATTCTAAATTGCCCATTTCCTCTTTTTGCGTAGGATAGCGTTTTCATTTACCTCAAAATAATTTAAATAAGCGTTCAACCAGACGTTATATTATAATAGAAATAACAATTTCATATAGTGATGGTTTTAACGTACTATCCTACTTTAAAAAGGGAATGGTAACTAAATAAAATCTTTACCTCCTGATTATCATTAAAAGTCTGCTCTCGAAAATTTTTATTGGTTTTATCTAGAATGATTTTGTTTTCTTTGTTTATTTAGGTTAATTCCGATAAAAAAAATCTTTGGTCTAATTCTGGTGGAGTTGATATAAGCTTAGATTATTTAAAACCTGGCGTAACTCGACCGAAAGCACCTCTTCCAAGCATGAATCAAATGTCAAATAACTATTCGGTTGGTCAACAACAGCCAGGAATCAATTGGTTAGGAGGCCAATCGAATATTCAACAACAAAACTTAATGATGAATAATAACATGTCTAATTTAGGTATGCATTCTTCTACCGTGCGAATGCAGAATATGTCGCCTGTTCGTTCAAATATAGGTATGTCAACAAATATGGGTATGCCAACAAATATGGGTATGTCGATTCCAACACATATGGGGCAAAATAAAATGGTACAACCAATCGGAATGCAGATAAACATGCAGCCTACGAGTCAACAAATTAACTTTGCGCAATTCAAAGCTAGTTGATTTTTGTCATAAACAAAATTTCCCAAAACGAACCACTAACATAATGAATACTTATAAACGAATCTCCACAAGGTGCAAAAAAAGCATTCGCGCGTCTTCAAAATATTACCGTTAACTGTTAATTAAATACAATATTTTGAAATGCTAATGCATATTTTTGCGTCTATCAGAGATTCGCGTTAGTGAATTTTCTATCGAGACACATTTTAACCCTGAATATTTGCATGCAAAAAATATCCATTGCTTTTTGCGCTCTTACGAAGTTCCAGATTTCTTATGTTACAACGTAAAATTTGGAGATTTGATTTGCTGAAAATTTCTTTACTTTTATATAATTTTTTATAAATTAAATTTCCCTAGTACTGAAATAATTTTTTTGTTACTGTAACTATTATTTACATGTTGCATTTATTTTTCAACGTTTTGTATGTACATATGAGTATTTTCTCAGTTGTATAAATTAGGGTTTCACATTTAAAATGGCTACACATTTCGATAAATTAATTGTTTAATTCATTGTGTGAACATTTTTTTTTTCTTTTTTGTTTTTTTTTTTACACTAAAAATCTGTATAGAGACTGTAATTCATTTATTTATTAGGTTTTAAATATTTGCTTTTAAATACATTAGCAAATATAATGAATAATTTATTTTTTAATTACTAGCATTTAATTACCTTACTAAATGTACTTTTGAAAAAAAACATACATTTACCTAAACCTACTTTTGAAAAATTACTATATATATAATGTGTTATTAATTAATTTTTTTTCCAGATGTAGTTACATATGAAAAAATTTCTATATGTAATTCATCTGGTTAAAATAATGCAGTATTTGTTAATTTTTTTTTTCAGATTTAATTACATCTGAAAAAAATCCTATATGTAACTACATCTGGTTAAGGTGGTATACCTCTCAGAAATATCAAATTTTTCAAAAAAAATTTGTTTTTATTTATTTAAAATTTATTATAGTATCATGTTCTGAAAACCATTTTTTTAAAATTTAGTGTATAACTTGAGGAAAACAAACTTTACTGAACCTTACTTTTTTAAGCGCCCTTGACAACCTCCATAGCAACTGTTAAATTTTTATTTGGCCAAGAAATTCTCCCCAAACATAATTTTTTGATACCTAGAAAAAAGCTTGTTATAATTTGTTTCTATTTTCCATTAATCAAAACATCTGTAAGAGTAAAAGCAATAACTGGATTTCTCATAAATTTTTTCCAGAAGTTTCTTTAAAACGAATTGTCATTTTTTATATATATCTATGCATCTGTTTATGTTTATATAAATTAAACCATATACTTTTAATGGGTAGAGAACGTGTGAAATTTGCTACTTAATACAAAAAGAAAAAAAGATTTTATGGAAATCAATATACTTTAAATAAAACAAATTCAGCATATACTAGTCTTCTGCAGATTCACAGAGCTCAATAAATGTATCTATTTGTAATAAATGTATATTATTCCAATGTAAACCCTATTAAGACTTTCGCAAGTTTTAATAAAAAAAGCATATGTGGATACAGAATAATTGATAGCGCTTACTAGTCATTGTTGTTATGTTGTCCAGAATGTAAAACTTGTCGACTTATTTTATCTGAAGATAAATTTTCCAGCTCATTGATTATATTCTGTAAATATGGATTCAATCGTGAATTTTTTTACATCCAAGAAGTGTGGTTATAAAAGTTGTAAAGCTTTTGATATCAACCAAATGTCAGTTTATGCTATGCGTTCATGTGGACAAGACCATTCTGGCCTTAAAAGATTCTGTTATATTATGGATCTTCCACCGCCAATGACTAAAAACACTTACATTAAAACTGTTCAAAAAATTGCTACTGAAGTTAAAGCAATCGCAGTAGAAACCATGTCTGATGCTGCACTTGAAATTACAAAAGCCTCCCAACATACAACTGATGAATCCAATTTAATAAATACCAGTGTTTCTTGTGACGGTACTTAGCAACGTCGAGGTTTTTCCTCATACAACGGTGTTTATACTGCAATATCTATGATTACAGGAAAAGTTTTAGATTATGAAGTATTATCCGAATATTGCAAACAATGTTTTTTGATTAAAAAGAAAAAAAGTACAGACCCTGATGCATATAAAATTCTGAAAAATACTCATTTTTGTAACCTCAACTATACTGGCCCATCCGCCGGTATGTAGGTCGCTGGAGCAAAATCAATTTTGGAACGATCTATTAAAACATAAACTTTGCTATACTGAATTTTGTGGTGACGGAGATAGTAAAACATTTTCATCTGTTGAAAAAGTGTATGATGATACACTAATTTCAAAATTAGAATGTGTTGGTCACGTGCAAAAAAGAGTTGGCACACGATTAAGAAAATTGAAAAAAGAAAGGCGTCTAGCTGGTAAAGGAAGACTTACTGATGCTACAATTGACAGATTGCAAAACTATTATTAAATTGCAGTTAGAACCAAAAATCAGTCCGTTCATGAAATGCGCAGTACAATACTTGCTTAATTGTTTCATGTTGCTTCCTCAAAAGAAAATAATTATCACATCTATTGTCCAAACAATGAAAAAAGTTGGTGCCAGCACAATGTTGATCAAAAACATCCCAATCAACCTTTTTTTATAAACCTGACCCTGGTTTGCCACGTGATATTATTGAGTTTCTGAAGCCAATTTATAAAGAACTTATCTCTAATGAATTTCTTGCAAAATGTATGCATGGAAAAACTCAGAACCAAAATGAGAGTCTTAACATAATGATATGGGAACTAAATTCTGTTCAAAAACTTTTGGCAGATTGCATAGATCAAACTGTTTTTTTATCATTAGGCCAAGTTTTACTTTCTTAGAATACTCTATTAAAATTTGAGATATTTTTGACTGTGCGGTGTGTATATTTTCTTACATCAGCCATTTTAGGTGGTTGTCATGACAACATAACCACCTGTAATTTTATAAATCAATTTTGTTTAATAAGATCTTTCATTGGCTTAATTTTAATTTTGACTATGAGATTTAACTTCCATGATAATTTTGAAGGGGGTATACCACCATCTTAAATCTACAGATGTAGTTGCACAGATGTTATTACACTTTGATAACTTAAAAGATGTAACTACATCTTTGATATTCACTTAACTTTTGCACAGAAGTTATTAGACACCAATGAAATTTCGATATTATATACCTCATTATATTTACAGATGTTATTAAACATGGCAAAAGCTGATGTTGTTAAATAAACCCTAATTTTTAACAATATAAAAAAAATGGTTAATGCTGCGGCTACGGCGACCGGCCGCATTACCGGTCGAGTCATATTGTACTTTTTTTTTTGTTTTAATGACGAATCATAAAAATAAACTATACTTAAAGCGGGTTTTTTTTTCAGGCCTCTCAGTATTTAGTTTTTTAGGCTTCTTTGTATATTAATTTTTAGGCCTCTTAGTATATTAGTTTTTTAAGCCTCTTAGTATATTAGTTTTTTTCAGGCCTCTTTTTTCACCCCTCTTTAGTAATTCCGTAAAAAACGAGCCTTACGCGTGACCAGTAATATCAAAAACAAAGCCTAAAACTCAGTGCCGAGTATAGGTAACCCATATTCCTTAATTATTGGGAATGGGTCAGAAAGTTTTGTGCCCTTGTGCTAATTTACGGAGCTTCTTATTTTAGCGAAACCTAGCGGTAAAATTTGGGAGATTTTAAGACCCAAATGAATAGTTTTTTTTTTTTACGCTTTTTGAAATCCTCCTCTTCCCCCTATGAGCATACATATATACATACTTTATGGACAACCCCTTATTTTTATATTTTTTTGAAAAATAAAAATTTTTTAAGGAAAGTTTACCCTTTTCTATTGAAAATTTACCGGTAAATTTTGAATCAAATTTTACCGGAAAATTTACATCACTACTCTTTAAGACTGTACTTAAATATTTACAAATAATTTGCCGTTAGGGCTACAGAGTTCAAAGAGTAAAGACAGAGGCAACTAGCCCCGGTCTCCCCTATGCATTACTTTTACTTTTGACAAAAAAGGTATTGGTATCCAAAGTAACCCCAATAACAGTCTGCGTTAAACATACATTATATAAGCGTTACAGTAATCAAGTGATACAGATTACTGTGATCAAGCCATAGCACAATAGTTAGGTCACGTGCTTCAGAGTTAATAGATCTTTAATGCCTGCCGCAGTAATATATACGATATCGGCAAGGAAAGCAGTTTGAACATCTTAGTTAAATATTTCGCGGAGCTCTGAGACGAGACCACTCAATTTTCTTTAAACACCTTAAAAACCTATAAAGCCACACGTGTTTAGGGTAACTATAAATACGGTTAAACTAAGAATGTAACTTTTAATCATATTCTTTTTAAAAACTGTTCTAGATTCTTAAAATTACCTTAACTTTGTTTATCGGATTTATAGATTATAAAAGAAAAAAAGGCTTAAAGTATTGCATTGAAAAGCTTTGCGCGCAGAAATCCCTATACAAATCCCTATACAAATTCGAACGTTTAATTTTTTTTATTTTCGCTCGTTTTACTATCGTTTTACTATTGTTTTACTATTGGTCTGCGTATTGTTTTTTTGTTGTTGTTGCATAGCAGTAAATATTTCCCAGCAGTCAAATTTAACAGATTAAATTCATTCTTTAGACTAAAAAAACCATCATTGTAATTAATGGTGCAGAATATACACCAATACCTTGCTTCAGTTATGTTTTATCAAGGCAAATATTGCAATAAACTGGCAATTGAAGAGTTGAAGCAGCAGTATTTATAGGAGATCTTACCTCATATAAAGCCAGTCACCAATCATCGCATTTTGCAAAGCAAAATATAATATTATATATATATATATATATATATATATATATATATATATATATATATATATATATATATATATATATATATATATATATATATATATATATATTCAGCTGCGAAAAATAAAATAGCACCACCACCAAAAATTGGTTGAAATTAGAATTTTTAACTATTTTTGATAGTTTGAAAATCTTTTAAATACATATTTTAAAGTAAAATAACTTATAATTTTTATAACAAACAAAATATACAAGTTTTAAATATATAGTATTTATTTATTAAACAAAAACTCAAAAAATATCAAGTAAAACGCGAAAGAAATAATAGCACCACAGCTTTAACGTGTACTTTAAAGTAAGGAAATATTATGAGATCAATTGTTTTAAACATTTTACAATAAATATTAGTTATTTCTTAACATTTTAGTATTTTGTAGCGTAACTTTTATTGGCAATAACGGCTACACAACGCCTTGGCATCGAGTTAACCTAGTCCTAACATCGCTTTAGCGGAATTTCGCTCAATGTCTTCTTAACTACGTTCCAAAGTGACTCCTTCGTGGTGGGTTTGGCAGTAGCAACCACCTCTTTTACGTCAACCCAAAAATTCTCAATTGGGTTAAGATCTGGCGACTGTGCTGGCCACTCCATAACGTTCACTTTAT